TCTAGCTTACTCAAACCGTCGTCTCTGTTCTCTCGGCAGCCAGACAAACTTCTGACACCATGTTGTGTTACCTGGTCTCCTTATGTCTCTGTAGGATGCTACGAGCTGCTGTAGGTTTTCTACTAGGTAATTAAACACTGAGACACAGCTGTTTAGCTTTTACTTTCTACTTCAACTCTTCAACCCAACAGTAACACATGTGACACTAGTGCCCCCTAGTGATCACAGTCCCAACAGCATGTACGTTACAGTACAATGCACCACACCTGCGATCTTCGTCAGAGCTAACCGCTAATGATGAAGATCGCAGGAGTGATCAAAACTAACAGCAAGGTGAAAAACCTTTCCTGTGTTTAAAAAAAAGAACCTAAAATTCATTCAGAAGAAAAACTCAGAATGAATATACTGTAGCGGTCTGCGCCGCCCTCTAGCGGGGTGTGTGTGAAGCAGCAAAGAAGAGTCGACAGGTAGCAAACATAGAACACTTTTAATAGCCGGATGGCTCCCCTTTTCATCCCCCCACACATACATTTAACTCACGGTGCCAACAGGCACCGGATAAGAATAACACAGCATGAACTCCAAACTGAAACAAACAACACTAACATAACCCCAAACAAAATAACCCTCAGAACACCACAAACTGAATAAACGACCCCAATTTACCATCCCCCAGAGTGCAATGCGGCCTTGCCGGCCTATCAGTGGCAGGGCCGCCACATAGCCCCCCCAAAAGGGTTAAGTGTCCCACAACCCTCAGTCTCCCATTTCAAAGTCCTGGAACCGGCCCGGCCGGCGCCGAGCGCGCACCGGCCTCCCTGGTCCCACCGTTTTCCCCCAAGTCCATCCACAGCCCCATCAGCAGCCGTTCGCCCCCCGGACTGTGGCCGGAACAGCGCCAAACGGTCCTTGTGGAGGACCACCCGCCTACCTCGTCCAGGCAGGCGAACCCGGAAGACCACCGCAGAGATCTGGTCCAAAATTTCTGTGGGTCCTTGCCAGCGGCTCATCAGTTTAGGGGACAGGCCCTTCTTCCGGGTCGGGCAGTAGACCCAAACCTTGTCCTCCAAAGCCAATAAGGGTCCATGAGCTCTGGAGTCGTACACCCTCTTCTGGCGAGCTCCAGCCACTAGCAGGGTGGTCCGGGCCAGCTGGTGGACTTCTTCCATCCACTCTTTTAGGCGTCGCACATAATCCAGTTCGGGCCCCCCCACAATCTCTGGGTCCGCAGCCGTCCCTAACACCAGATCCGCTGGCGTCCGGAGCTCCCTCCTGAACATCAGCACCACCGGAGTGCTCTGGCTGGACTCTTGCAACGCAGTGCGGTACGCCCACAACACCATCGAAATGCAGTTTCGGTGGGACTTCAGCCTACCGGGAGGGAACCCTGAGTCTCAGGCAGGAATCCCTTCCGGACCATACAGATGGTGGACCCCGTATCCACCAAGGCTCGGCATTGTTGTCTTCCGACAACGCAGTCCAAATATAGCCCATGAAGCGGCCCGCAGCGGCCGACGGATGGCAGTTTAACTCCAAGGGGTGACGTTGCGCGAGGTGGGAGTCTCTTTACTGTCCCACCCCGCTGGCGTTTCCCGCAGCTTGCGGCCTCTGTGGCCCGGACCTGGGCCGAGGACTTGGGGCTGGGCAGTCTCTGGCTAGATGTCCCAGTTCTCCACAGCGGTAGCAGAGGCCGTTGGCTGGTCTCTGTCTCGGGGTCTGCTCCGGCCGGGCCTGGTTGCCTTCTCTCCTCTCCTCCAGCGCCTCCTCTTGTTCAGCCGCTCTCGCCAGTGGCGATCGCCCACACTGTCGAACAGGTATCACCTCCTCCGCTTGTTCAGCTCTCCTAAGCGCTTCAGCCAAGGTGATGGGGAAGGACAGTCTGACATGTTGACGTAATGGTTCCGGTGTTAGCCCTCGTAGGAACGCGTGGTTTATGCTTGACGCGTCCGCGAGGTCCGCGCGGCGAAATTGCGTCATTTTAACAACCACGCCCCTCCACCGCGTCTCCGCACAGCCCAAAATTTCCACAACGCGCACCTAGGAAAATTTCTAACCACGCGGATGGTCGGACGCGGAAAAACATGGCGGACCGGCAAGAACTAGTATGGCAGAGGTTCGTAAATACAGACATTTGTATGATTCAGCTCTCAGAGATCACCGTGATCAACATGTTGTTAATAATTCTTGGAGAGAAATAGCTTGCACTGTCGGAAAAGACGAGGACGCTGTTAAAAATGCTGGAATGCCATGTTGTAAACAGTAATTTCTACTTCTACTATGGTGTAGTGTTGGATGCATGCCGTAGAGCTCCATGCTGCCCCATTCAGTTTGGGAGAATATTGGCTCACCACAGAAACAAGCCGCATGAACCATGAACGCTGCGAGTTGTGAAGCGCGTTCCATCCATGAGCCGCATCACCAAGCGGAAAGTGAATGCGTCAAGCATAAACCAAGCTTTACTCCTCTCTGGCGGCAGCCGGGAAGTCAGGATAGCCCCGCCGAGCATACAGTTGTAGATCAGCTGCATAAGCTCCCAAGCTTTCTCTGTGGCCGCGTCGTCTGCCACTCAGTTGCTCACGGCTTTACTCTCCAGAGGCTTGCTTCCCAAAGCGTCTATTCAGTGCAGCCGTGATAGCTTGCCAATCGCGTCGCTCTTCCGATGCTAAGTCCACCAGGACCTGAAGTGGTCCTCCTTCCAAGGCCAGCGCCACCTGAACCGCTGTCTCCTGTTGGCTCCATCCTTCATGTAAAGCCGCCAGCTCTACTTGAGCGAGGAAGGGTGCAAGAGGTGTGGCACCGCTGAATCTTGGGAGTTTTACCGGCGTTCGATTGCCGCCGTCTCTCAGCGCCGTTGGTGCCGGGATTGTGGGCGCTTCCGCAGAGTGCATCTCTCGCGGGTGCCGGGCTAACCGCGGATCGCTGGTTCCATCCGGCTGGCGCGGTGTCCTCGCTCTAGTGCCCAGCCGTAGTTGTTCTTCCAGCTTGCTGTTCTCTGTGTCAAGTCGCTCGATCTCGACAAGTTGCTGCATCTTTTCTGTCTTACTTGACAACGCTAATCCCACTTCTGGCACCAATGCAGCGGTCTGTGCCGCCCTCTAGCTGGGTGTGTGTGAAGCAGCAATGAAGAGTCAACAGGTAGCAGACATGGAACACTTTTAATAGCTGGATGGCTCCCCTTTTCATCCCCCCACACATACATTTAACTCACGGTGCCAACAGGAACCGGATAAGAACAACACAGCGTGAACTCCAAACTGAAACAAACACTAACATAACCCCGAACAAAATAACCCTCAGAACACCACAAACTGAATAAACAACCCCAATTTACCATCCCCCCAGAGTGCAATGCGGCCTTGCTGGCCTATCAGTGGCAGGGCCGCCACAATACAAAAGAGGGGAACTCTTAATTATTCATGCTAATTCCAAAACAAATAAAAATAAAATCTTAGTGCAGCTTATCTGGACCAGTGCCACAAAACCACATCATTTATATCATTAAGATACTCCAAAATGGTTTTGCTCATTTCTCACCTGATTTTTGTTTCTTTAAAAATGTTTAAATGTGAAGGAAGGATTTTATAAAAATGAGCAAAGCTTAAATTAGTTTTAGTCTGATTTGGTGCTTAAAACCTTTTGTGTCTGATGCAACAGTTAATTGCAAGATCTGCACAAACTTCTCGTTAAAGGGAAACTTTGCAACTTTTTCATATTTTTAAATAATTTTCTTGAGCCAGTATGTGCTAAAACAATCCTTTACTGGGTAAATGAAATGTCAGACAGACCGCACCGCCCCTGTGGCCAGAATACCGCATTTGTAACTTCAGAGTTGGTGTCCGCTCCCTGTTAGGTCCCACTCTAAGCCAAATTCGTACTTTTCCATCAGTTCCACGATTGAAAGACACACACACACATTGACAGAGACGTTTTGCTTTCAGACTTCACCGTCAGCTGGGGATTGATGCAAAACAATTCCCCGTCAGGACAACAGATGGCATAGCTGTCAGGATCTGCTCCTACCCCTCTGACTCTTACTCTCTCCTGCCCCTGATTAGTTCTTTATTGGTCTCACCTGCCCCTTGTTAACCTGCCCATGTGTTCCTGATTGTTCCCTGTGTATTTATACCTCCCATCTTGCATGTGTCCCTTGTCGGATCATTGTTGTGTGTTGTTGTTCCTGCTGTATCCTCTGCCATTAAATCCATTTTACGTTATCTGAGCCTGCATTCCTGCCTCCTGATCAGCTCCACCACACATGGTCCGCCGCCACCCACACCTCAACATGACAGTAGCACTATGCTTAGGTATCCTGCTTCCATTACACTCACCACCATAGTGTATTTACTAGTATATCAGTGACTTTTTAACACGGACTAATTTGTCCCTCTTTCCTCTCCACCTTTTCAATCGACTGGAACTTGTAAACCCGTTTGATCTAGTAATGAATCACTTCTGTAAACACTAATGAAGGCTGGGGAGACATTTCAGCAGTTAGATCAAGGTGTTAAAAAGACAAATGCACAGCAGGAGATAAGTTTCATTTTTGCTTTCACAACAGTGAATTAATAACAGACTCCAGAGGGAGCTAAAAGCAAGCTAAAAGGCCTAGTTTCCCTTTAAATTTTTTGCTTAATAAGTCGCAAAATTTCCTAATGATCTCATAATTCATTTGCTGTTCATAGTGATTTTTTTCATGTTTCTTTAATCTTAAATATCATTATTTTGTCTCCATTCAGTCACAACTCTCAGAGTTCTCCAAAAGTTGTCTCACATTTCTTTTACCTTGTGATAATTGAATTAATTTTGTTGAATATGTGGTTTCGGGTTTCCAAGGTGACTCCCAGACTTTTTAACTTTCAGCAACATCAAAATCCCTTTGGAGTTTGTCATCAGTTGACACAGTCCAGTGAGGTGCTGGTTTCGCCGGTTTGAGCTCTTTTCTTTAAGTCTTTATCATCCGCTGATTTCACACGTTTATTTCTGTTGTTCTGTTTTTATAGTTGGGAGATCCTTGATTCTGGTCCAGACAGCCAGTCAGGAACTGGACCTCCACTCAGCGACTCCCTCAGACTCTTCTTGCAGGAGACATCGGCCTTCAAGCAGCAGAACCCTGGAAAGGTGAGATGGAGACCTCAAATGGATTTGGGCCCACACCTGGATCAGCTGATTTCGTCACTCAATGTGGAAAGTGACACGGAAAACAAATAGCTGAATTTACATTACGGTTGATTTTTAAGAAAGACGAATAAACAGGAAGTAAAAACAACTAATGGATGAATAATAAAAGCTGATTTATATACAGTAAATTCCCTCTGACAGTAGAAGGTTCTTTGATGGATAATAATGGTAACTTTGATATAATCTAAACCCGTTTCTGTTCTTCTAGTTTTGCCTGCTGGTTTGCAGTTTATGCACCTTTTTTGCTGTTTTGGGACGCTACATTCCTGGAATTGTTTTCTCATATATTATAGGTGAGTGGAAGATCATTTATCTCCTCATGGTTGTTGTGTTTCTGTGTTGATCTGACCTCTAACATCAGCATATATCATCCTTTCTGAAGCTCTGGGCTTCTTCCTGTGGCCTCTGATTTCATCTCATGATGCTTCTTTGTGGCTGAAGCCAGTTCTGCAGAAGCTGGACTTTGGCATCGGAGAGATTTTTCATAAAATCAAGGAGAACCATGGTAAAAATCACAACTAATCTTCTGTGTTTTTAAAATAATCTTTCCACAAAGTACGTTCTGAACCAGACAGGAAGAAAATAAAGAACTATGATGGACAAATGCGCCCCTCAGTGGCTATTCTGGAAATTATACCTAAGTCCCGCCTCCTCTTTTTAAATGATGGAAAATGGAATTTAATGTTGTGGGATCATGAAATATTTTTTGCAACATAGAAATAAACTAAATGAATTTAAATATAAACCCCTCATATTAGTGTTTTGTGCTTAGATAAAATTGTGATAAACCTTTTTCTAAATTGTCATAAAAACCTGCATAAATACATCATTTTTATTGATTTATTTATTATTAATAAACTTAATTTACTGATTGTTGTTTTCCTCGTTTCAGAGAAAAGTCTCATTCAGTCTCAGGCAGAGAAAGAAGGGATTGAATCGGATCTTTCTTCCATGTTTCCCAAGGTTGGAAATTTATCTTCCCCAAGTCGATCTGATTATCTGTGTTTACAGAGCTCAGTTAAAGCAAATTAAATCAACACACATGATCCTAATTGGCCTCAAACCTGCAGCCAGAGCACGTAAACACAGGAAAGTTAGATCAGCAGCCACTAAACAAACTTTTTTATTTTTTTAATTCACATTTTATAATTTTCTGTGTGTTTTAAGCTTTAATATCTCACAAAATTTGTTGTTTTAATGCTAACTTAAATATCCTCATTGCCACAAAGCATAGCCATTCATTAAAAGCAGAATAAAATAGATTAAATCTCAAATATGTTTTTCTTACAATAACTTCTTGTATATAGTTTGTCAGGTTTTAAAACCTGGACGAAAGCACTTTCCCTTTTAACACAAATGTGGGTTAGGGTACATTTGTAGAGATTTTGCACTTCATATTAAAAAATCTGCAGAAAAACAGGAGGAAATGTATAACACACAACTAGATTTATAGCAAAGAGGATCCCTAAAGGTCTGATTTACTTCATTCTTGTGCTGAAAGGATGCAAAGTTTTGCACAAAGTGCATTTCTACATTTACAATTTTCTGTTCAGACTGAATCCACACAAGCTGCCCAAATGTGTCGTGAAAACTGCTAAAATAGTTTTTTATATTGTTAATTTAACACGTACATCAATGAGGTTTGTACTGTTGTTGGTCGAAGATACAAGTAGCCACTTTGGAGGTGCTGTAGGCTCACATGAGGCTCCAGAGAGCCACAGATTGGAGACCCCTGAGTCATGATAGCAGCAAGACTGCAGAAAAAGCATGTATTTTGCATGGGTGCGGTGGTATTGACGGTTGCAGTAATGCAACTGCAAAGAATGCCAACTGCCATGAAAAAACAAAGAAGAAAAGAGGGTCTGAGTCACTCTCAGAGTTGTCGTTTCATCTCCTAAATACGTTCAGACAGGAAGGAACGAAGCACCTCTGTTGGGGGAGGTGCTAATTGGAAATAGATACCTATTATTTATCCTCTTCGTCTTCCTCCGCTTATCCGGGTCCGGGTCGCGGGGGCAGCATCCCAATTAGGGAGCTCCAGGCCGTCCTCTCCCCGGCCTTGTCCACCAGCTCCTCCGGCAGGACCCCAAGGCGTTCCCGGACCAGATTGGAGATGTAACCTCTCCAACGTGTCCTGGGTCGACCCGGGGGCCTTCTGCCGGCAGGACATGCCCGAAACATCTCCCCGGGGAGGCGTCCAGGAGGCATCCTGACCAGATGCCCAAACCACCTCAACTGGCTCCTTTCGATCCGGAGGAGCAGCGGTTCTACTCCGAGTCCCTCCCGAATGTCCGAGCTCCTCACCCTATCTCTAAGGCTGAGCCCGGCCACCCTACGGAGGAAACTCATTTCGGCCGCTTGTATCCGCGATCTCGTTCTTTCGGTCATTACCCAAAGCTCATGACCATAGGTGAGGATTGGGACGTAGATCGACCGGTAAATCGAGAGCCTGGCTTTCTGGCTCAGCTCCCTCTTCCCCACGACAGATCGGCTCAGCGTCCGCATCACTGCAGACGCCGAACCAATCCGCCTGTCGATCTCCCGATCCCTCCTACCCTCACTCGTGAACAAGACCCCGAGATACTTAAACTCCTCCACTTGAGGTAGGACCTCTCCCCCGACCCGGAGGTGGCAAGCCACCCTTTTCCGGTCGAGAACCATGGTCTCAGATTTGGAGGTGCTGATCCTCATCCCAGCCGCTTCACATTCGGCCGCGAACCTACCCAGCAAGAGCTGAAGGTCAGAGCTGGATGAAGCTAGGAGGACCACATCATCCACAAAAAGCAGAGACGAGATTCTCCTGCCACCAAACTCGACACACTCCACACCACGGCTGCATCTAGAAATTCTGTCCATAAAAGTGATGAACAGAACCGGTGACAAAGGGCAGCCCTGGCGGAGTCCAACCCTCACTGGGAACAGGTCCGACTTACTACCGGCTATGCGGACCAAACTCACGCTCCTCTGGTAAAGGGACTGAATGGCCCTTAACAGAAAGCCACCCACCCCATACTCCTGGAGCGTCCCCCACAGGGTGCCCCTGGGGACACGGTCATAAGCCTTCTCCAAATCCACAAAGCACATGTGGATTGGTTGGGCAAACTCCCATGCCCCCTCCATCACCCTTGCAAGGGTATAGAGCTGGTCCACAGTTCCACGGCCAGGACGAAAACCACATTGCTCCTCCTCTATCTGAGATTCAACTATCGATCGGACCCTCCTCTCCAGTACCTTGGCGTAGACCTTTCCAGGGAGGCTGAGGAGTGTGATCCCCCTATAGTTGGAACACACCCTCAGGTCACCCTTCTTAAAGATGGGGACCACCACCCCGGTCTGCCACTCCCTAGGAACTGCCCCCGATGACCACGCAATGTTGTAGAGACGTGTCAACCATGACAGCCCTACAACATCCATAGCCTTGAGATACCCAGGACGAACCTCATCCGCCCCAGGGCTCCGCCGCTGTGTAGTTGTTTGACTACCTCAGCAACTTCTGCCCCCGAGATCGGACAGTCCATCCCCAGGCCTCCCAGCTCTGGTTCCTCCTCGGAATGCGCATTGGTGGGATTGAGGAGCTCCTCAAAGTATTCCTTCCACCGTCCGACTATAGCCTCAGTTGACGTCAGCAGCTCCCCATCCCCACTGTAAACAGTGTGAGCGAGTTGCTGCCTTCCTCTCCTGAGGCGCCGGACAGTTTGCCAGAACCTCTTTGGAGCCGATCGATAGTCTTTCTCCATGGCCTCACCAAACTCCTCCCACGCCCGAGATTTTGCCTCGGCAACTGCCACTGCTGCACCCCGCTTGGCTATCCGGTACCTGTCTGCTGCCTCCGGAGACCCACAGACCAGCCACGCCCTGTAGGCCTCCTTCTTCAACCTGACGGCTCCCCGAACCTCTGGTGTCCACCAGCGGGTACGGGGGTTGCCACCACGACTGGCACCGGCCACCTTACGACCACAGCTAGCAACAGCCGCCTCGACAATCGCAGAGTGGAACAAGGCCCACTCGGACTCAATGTCCCCCACTGCTCTCGGGACGTGGTCAAAGCTCTGCCGGAGGTGGGAGTTGAAGACCGTCTTGACAGGTTCTTCTGCCAGGCGTTCCCAGCAGACCCTCACTATGCGTTTGGGTCTGCCAGGTCTATGCGGCATGTTCCCTTGCCATCTGATCCAACTCACCACCAGGTGGTGATCAGTTGACAGCTCCGCCCCTCTCTTCACTCGGGTGTCCAAAACATACGGCCGCAGGTCAGATGATACGACTACAAAATCTATCATCGACCTGTGACCTAGGCTGCCCTGGTACCAAGTGTACCGGTGGGCATCCTTATGTTCGAACATGGTGTTCGTTATGGCCAAACTGCGGCTTGCACAGAAGTCCAATAACAAAACACCGCTCGAGTTCAGATTAGGTGGGCCGTTCCTCCCAATCACACCCCTCCAGGTCAAGCTGTCATTGCCCACGTGAGCATTGAAGTCCCCCAGCAGGACAATGGAGTCCCCTGATGGAGCACTATCTAGCACTCATCCCAGGGACTCCAAAAAGGGTGGGTACTCTGAACTGATATTTGGCCCATAAGCACAAACAACAGTCAGGACCCGTTCCCCGACCCGAAGGCGCAAGGAAGCTACCCTCTTGTCCCCCGGGGTAAACCCCAACACACAGGCAGAGAGTCTCGGGGCTAACAAAAAGCCAACCCCAGCCCTCCGCCTCTCACCCGGAGCAACTCCAGCAAAGTAGAGTGTCCAACCCCTCTCCAGGTCTCGGGTTCCAGAGCCAATGCAATGTGTCGAGGTGAGTCCGACTATATCTAGCCGGTACCGCTCAACCTCTGCCACAAGCTCCGGCTCCTTCCCCGCCAGCGAGGTGACGTTCCATGTCCCAAAAACTAGTTTTCTTGTCCGGGGATTGGACCGCCAAGGCTCCTGCCTTGGTCTGCCACCCGATTCGCATTGCACCGGACCCTTCATGTTCCTCCTGCGGGTGGTGGGTCCACAGTTGGACGAGCCCATGTATCCGGTTCGGGCTGGGCCCGGCCGGGCCCCATGGGCGAAAGCCCGGCCACCAGGCGCTCGCTCACGGGCCCCAACCCCAGGCCTGGCTCCAGGGTGGGACCCCGGTAACCCTCCGGGCCGGGTACTCCGACTCTTCGTTTTAACCGCCATGAAAGATCCTTCGAACCGTTCTTTGTCTCACCCTTCACCTAAGACCAATTTGTCATGGGAGACCCTACCAGGGGCACTAAGTGCCCCAGACAACATAGCTCCTAGGATCATTAGGGCACTCAAACTCCTCCACCACGATAAGGTGACGGTTCAAGGAGGAGTTATTTATCCATTTTCCAAAACCAGGTAAGGTCAGTGACAACACAAAACAGGTGGAAAGGAAAACGGGTGAAGCTAAAGACAGACAAAGCAAAGCGTGGTAATGTTTGTGTGGAAGATATTCAGTTTGGAGAAGATCAAGGGGTGTGTGTATATTTGTTGCACGCATCAATGGGAAAGGTCTCTGAGAATGACAAGTCAATACTAGCAACACTTTCAGATGTGGAGATATCCAGGACAAAGCAGTGAAAATGAAAAAATCCAGCTGAACAGCATGTCCATCCAAACTTGGTGGGTGATATGTAAAAAATAATGACATGAATGATAAAGTTTATACTTTATCATTTTTTTCACCTGGCAGATGCAGTTTGTTTGTCTAGCAATAGCACCCAGCAACATTAGCACCCAGTAGCACCAGCACCCAGTAGAGAAAATGTTTTTTTCACCTGGCAGATGCAGTTTTTTTGTCTAGCAATAGCAAACAGCAGCACTAGCACCCAGAAGAATTAGCACCCAGCAGCACTAACACCCAGCAGCGTTAGCACCCAGCAGCATTAGCACCCAGCAGCACTAACACCCAGAAGCATTAGCACCCAGAAGCGTTAGCACCCAGCAGCGTTAGCACCCAGCAGCACTAACACCCTGTAGAACTAACACCCAGCAGCATTAGCACCCAGCAGCATTAGCACCCAGCAGCACTAACACCCAGCAGCACGAACACCCTGTAGAACTAACACCCAGCAGCACCAGCACCCAGCAGCATTAGCACCCAGCAGCACCTGCACCCAGCAGCACCAGCATCCAGCAGCACTAGCACCCAGCAGCATTAGCACCCAACAGCACTAGCACCCAGCAGCGCTAGCACCCAGCAGCACTAGCAACCAGCAGCACTAGCACCCAGCAGCATTAGCACCCAGCAGCACTAACACCCAGCAGCACTAACACCCTGTAGAACTAACACCCAGCAGCACCAGCACCCAGCAGCATTAGCACCCAGCAGCACCTGCACCCAGCAGCACCAGCATCCAGCAGCACTAGCACCCAGCAGCATTAGCACCCAACAGCACTAGCACCCAGCAGCGCTAGCACCCAGCAGCACTAGCAACCAGCAGCACTAGCACCCAGCAGCATTAGCACCCAGCAGCACCAGCACCCAGCAGCATTAGCATCCAGCAGCACCAGCACCCAGCAGCATTAGCATCCAGCAGCACCAGCACCCAGCAGCATTAGCACCCAGCAGCACCAGCACCCAGCAGCATTAGCATCCAGCAGCACCAGCACCCAGCAGCATTAGCACCCAGCAGCACCAGCACCCAGCAGCACCAACACCCAGCAGCACCAGCACCCAGCAGCACCAACACCGAGCAGCACCAGCACCCAGCAGCACCAGCACCCAGCAGCACCAGCACCCAGCAGCACTAATACCCAGCAGCACTAGCACCCAGTAGCACCAGTGTGGTGACGTCAACAGTAGAATTTTCTATTGACCTCGTACTCACCAGGACATTTATCGACAGTTTTACCCTTGTCAGAACAAAACTCAAAACACATATGTTTAAATCTGCCTACAACCTCTGATTTTATTGATCTGTTTCTCTCTTTGTTTTTTCTTGTTTGGGTTTTCTTGTTGTTTTATTGTATTTTATTAAGTATTTTCTGCCAAGTGACCTTGGGTGTTCTGAAAGGCGCTTTTAAATAAAATGTATTATTATTATTTGTTTTTTTCTTCCATGGCTACAAACATTTTACCAACAGTTCTAACAACAAACTGATGTTCCTCCATGTCTTCCTGCTTCAGCTGGACTCTACAGTGTGTAAGGAAATGTCAGTGTCGGACACAGAAGTGTCCGATGTGACGTGGACGGACAATAGCACCTTCAACCTGTCAGAGGGACACACGCCGCAGACGGAGACCTCTGAGGGTTTGACTCCATCACCTGAAAGGTTAGAGTTTATTTTGGGTTCGTTTTTGTTTTGACTCGATTCTGTTTCACGTCACAGACATCGACAAAGAAGAAGCCTTTGCTGGTGGCCTCCCAGAATTCCCTTCTCTTGATAATGGTGCAACAACCAACGGCGATGATGATGATGAATTCAGCCTTGGTCTTCCATCTAAGCCAATCAAATTACAGCATTCAGCTCTCCCTCCACACAAAGACCAAGCAGGTGTCAATGCACTGGAACTGGTCAACCAGATGGCAGGAGACGTCATCACTGCCGCCGTAACAGCCGCCATCCAGGAAAGGATAGAAGCTGCGGTTGGAATCTCGGCTCTGAAGCCATCCAGGTTCCCAGAGCCGACCCGGCTGCTGGAGCTGGACGAGGAGTCGGACAGCGAGGTGGAGGACTTTGAGCTGCTGGACCAGTCAGAGCTGGAGCAGCTGGAAGGGGGGCTGGTGGAGCAGACATCCCAGGAGGAGGAGACACAGGTCAAGATCCACGACAAACCGGCCTCATCTGGATTCTTCTCCAACCTCCTTAGGCGCCACTGAAAGAGGAAAAGTTCTGCAGGGGCGGGAAATGGGTCGTAGAGGACATGTGGAGGGGAGACCAGGCGTTTAGGTCGATCTGCTTTGATTTCTGCAGGAAAAGTTTTTACTTTACTTTATCAGCTACATAACAGATTCAGATAAAACTATAACTTTATGAACTTCATGAATTAAAGCAGCTGGTCCGTTTGGGAGGCCACTGCTGGGACTCTGATCAACGTTCATGAGGGAGTTCACTAATGCTTCAAAAGGTTCTCGAGAGTTCTCTGTTCCTTCTGGTGAGTGGCAGGTCCTCACCCTCAGGTCGCTGCAAGGTTAGAAAGTGTTTAAAAAAATAACCTGTACTACACTTGTCCTCTAAAATAGGTGCAGAGTTGTCCCGAGTTAAAGACAACTTCAGGAGGCAACGGTGACACGTTGAGACTAAATAGCAACAAGAAACAAACTCTAACCTGTCTGTAAATAAGACAAGTCCCAAAGGAGTCAGGTCTGCTAATTCAGCTGAAAACGTTGAGTTTTAAACATTTCAGCTTCTCCAGCTAGCTGCAGGCCAGTGAGAAAACAGCTTTGGATGATGTCAGTGACTGACCGATAACAAAACAAATAATTATGTATGTGATCAAAGACCTGACTGTGGTTTTACAGCCTGTAAATAAGTTACATATTTGTCAAAAACACAAAGATGTTTTGTAAAAGATCTGTTGTTTAGTAGGAAATCTGTTGAATCAGTTTAAAATCAAATAAATCTCTACTCCCACATAAACGATGCAGTTCTGCTGAAACCTGCAGGTTTATTCATCAGTTACAGAACCACAAAATATTTATTTTATAGCAGAATTTCAACAGCAGCAATTTACAACATTTTAATAATTTGGCAGATAAGTGAAAATAAATATTGTTAAAATATTGAAAATTATTTATTATGTAATAAATAGTTAATTGTCAGAATAACAAAACTTCAAATTTTATAATCATCAAGAATTTTAAAAGCATTCATGTAGGGTTTCAGAACTGTTTCTTGCAGCCATTTTTATTCAAATGTTTCTAAATCGAGACGGAAAACCTGAAGATGATAAAAATTATGTTTGATTTAATTTGTTTTAACTCCAATGAGCTAAATAAAAAGATCAGCAGTTATCAAAGAGACCAGTATATCTGATTGGATCCCTGTAATAATAATAATAATAATTTGAGATATCTCTCCTGATTTTTAAAGAGGTGTTTTCCAAATCCATTTGTTAATGTTAATTACTGCTCATTAATAACAGACACTGCCCGGCCCACCCAAATAAAAGGGCTCACACTTATCAGTGGGGTTAAGGTCTGGACTCTGTGGGCCAATCCGTGTGTGAAAATGATGTATCTGCTTGCTTAATCGAGTCCAGGTGGCGACTTTTCTTTGGCCAAGCAGTGTATGAATCAATAATTAGCAGCATGCTGCATTTATAACCTGATGCAAAGCAGACATATTTTTTATTGTTTTGTTTCTGACTTGGATCAGATGAATCTTTGATCACTAACAAAGTCCAGCATGTTCACATTAACCGTTTCTGTTCAGTGACGTCATTGATTTAAAGCCTTCATAACTAAAAGTCTTTTTCTTTTTTCACTTTCTTCAGATGTTGCGAGTTAGGATTTTTTTTTTTAGAAAAACTCAAATAAATAAAATATATTATAAATTGATTCTGATATTCTGAAATCAATTATACCTTTTAACTAAATACATTTTCAGCCAAGTGTAAAGAAGTGACTACGGCACTATGGGCGTTGTACCAGTCTAGCTCTCCATTTACCAGTTGATCTTCCAGTTGATCTTCGTTCCTACCCTCGCCTATGGTCATGAGCTTTGGGTAGTGACCGAAAGAACATGTCAGGTTGCGAGCAGGAGGTTTAGACCCAAGAAGCAGAACACCAGAACGACTCGAGGCAGGAGCGGTTGTAAAAAGTTAAAATCCTTTTATTTAGGATGCAGCACAAAACTCATCAACGGCGCAGGATGCTAAGCCTGAAAAATAAACTCAGAAAGCCAAAAAACAAAAGCTCACTTATGAGCACAAACCTAATGCAAAACAACGCTGACAAAAGACAATGGACCGACACACACCGAGAGACAAGACAGGGTTATATAGACAGGCTGGGTGATTAGGGGAATTGGGCACAGGTGAAACTAATGAACTGAGAGGAAGCAGAAACAAGCAGGGGAGAAGCTCATATCTAAGGCCCTGTCCACACGTAGCCGGGGATCTGCCAAAACGTAGAAAAACTGAGTTTTTTCACACGAAAACGGATCTTTTTAAAAACTCCGGCCAAAGTGAAGAACTGCGTTTTCTCCGTTTTGGGTGTCTGCGTGTGGACGGACAAAACCGGAGTTTTAAGGTCCGCAACGTCACTTTCCGCGACAAAAAATGCTGACATCACGTGTGCGACCTGTGTTTACACTAGCCGGCATCATGGAAGCCCTCAGAGCTGCGCTCTGTCACTACCCGATCCATCAGTTGTCCAAGCGCTTTCTGCTTGTTTGTTTTTGCAAGCGGAATTACTGCTCCTTGCGGAAGACCACAGACGAAGGACGAGGTTAAGAACGGGGGAAGTACTGCCGCCTACAGGTCTGGCATGTCCTTAATGTGGCAAGGTGGAGAAACAAGGGACCGGGCGGGATTCGAGTCACACGCTCTAACCAGTCAGCCAAAGGGACATCCCCTTGGCCAAGTAGCCAGGGCGCATGATCAATCGGGACACTGTGACAGGACGCACACACTGTCACATTAACAACGTATTTATCCGGGTACGTGTGGACAGTTTGTTTTTAAAACGCGGTGGTGTGGATGCAAGTTTTTGGAGGGGCGGATATTCGTTTTTAAAAAACCCCGGCTACGTGTGGACTAGGCCTAAATCCTGTAAAAATAACAAGCTACTAGCCTAAACTTAACTTAAACATCGTAGAACAAAGACACAGGGGAATCTAAAAATAAGTAAACAAATTATCTAAGTGGGAAAGGAAACACACACACACTAAAGGAGACTAATGAACTGAAAATCTGAACCTATAGAAAACTACAGAGGAGTGACTAGGAGAAACATGAGGGAAACCAGGAGAGAGCTGGGGACCAAAGGGGCACAGAAGACTTGGGGACACATGAGGGGAACCTGAAGGGAAACCTGGAGGGAGACCTGGAGGGGGCTGGGGACTACAAGGATACAGAAATGTTGGGGAATGGGGGGGGGGGGGGGGGGGGGGGGGTTGACATGAGGGAAACCCATCGGGGAGACCAGGAGGGAGCTGGGGACAAAAGGGGCACAGGAGACTTGGGGACACATGAGGGGAATCTGGAGGGAAACCCAGAGGGCGCTGGGAACCACAAGGACACAGAACATGACAGAACAAGATTGTGGGTACAAGCAGGGTGGCTGGGCTCTCCCTTAGAGATAGGGTGAGAAGCTCGATTATCCGGGAGGGGTTCGGAGTAGATCCGCTGCTCCCCGGCATCAAGAGGAACCAGTTGAGGTGGCTCGAGCATCTCCAGCAGGTGACCCATAGGAAGACCCAGGACACGAAGGACTGTATTTAATTTGAAATTTCTTCATGGCCTTGCCCCGCCTTACCTGCATGAGCTGTTCCTCCCTTTCTCCCAGGTCAGCGGATCAGCTGCTCCTGGCTGTCCCAAAGACAAAAGCCCTTAGAGGACACACCATGCTGCCACCATGTGTCTTATAAATGCACCGTTGTGGGCATTTTGCAGCATTTGTGCCACCACGCTTAGTAGTCATATTACCACAGTGCCGAACTTGTGAATGCACATTACGCCTTGGCGCAACAGAGGGAGGTGTCATGATCATGTGGGGAGTTGCTGCCGAGCTCTGGCCAGCAACCATATTGAAAATTAAAGTAAACACGGGCCGTAAGTTTCACTTTTGTAAACAGAACCAGCTGAGATGATAAACTGGAGTGATGCAGAGCTCCAGGAACTCGAGCTGGAGCTTAGATCACGCGGGACTGTGGAGGACAGACATCTTTAGGAGCAGCTTGTCAGAAAAACTTAACTAGAGCAGCTTCGATCGCAATGAAAAGTAAGTTACGTCCAAGATAAACAGAACTCCAAACAGCGCAGAGACCTCCCCATACCCGTTTTACACCGTCATAGCATCATCTTTTATAAAAAGGACAATTGCACCACATTACTGCCACGGTCTGACCACTTTTAAATGGCCTAAGGCTCCCAGACGGTGGTATTGTTCTCTAAAAGAGGCTAAAGTGTAAACTTTGTTTTAACCATATTTTAGTCTGCTTAGTTTATTGTTTAAACTCTTTGGCTATTTTATTTATTCTAGGTGTTTGTATTTGTTCTTTGTACAGCGCTTTGGTCCTGTGGGTGTTTCCAGTGCTCTACAAATAAAGTTGGTTTGGTATGGCTTTATAAAATAAACAACTGGTATGTTGCAGAAAAGGGCTGAATGGTTGTTAAAATATATTTTATTGACCCCACAGTGAGGAAGCTCTCTTGGCAAAGCAGCACACACACTTGGAGAACAGAAAAAAAAATTGCACAGATTAGAGTCAGTGATGTTTCTTTTCTTCCTTAAATATCTACTATCTACTTTGTTGTCATTAAAAAAATAAAACACCAATTTGTTTCTAAATTAAGAAAAAAAGCAAAAAATGTATGGATATATTTGTCAATGGGATGTTGATATTAGTGGGAAAAAATCATAAATAGTTCCAAAAGTATTACTGGTACTTTTATTGTCATTCTGTTGTGGAGAGTCAGTGTAATTATTCACTGAAAACTCTGAAAAGCTGCTTTAACTTGCATTTTGTATTGTGGCCCTGTCTATATTTTTAAATGGAGTTAATGGTTTTAAATCAAATCAAATCAACTTTATTTATATAGCACTTTTCATACAAAAAAAATGCAATTCAAAGTGCTTTTCTTGATTAAAATGGCCCGTAGATCCCATATTCCTATCCCAGCCCCCCTCCCCAAGTATAAAACAATTAACAATTACGGTTCCCCTCCCGCACCCAACTTCCAAAGTGGACATACAATCACCCGCACACTCGTCCATGCACACACACACACACACACACACACACACGTGAACACCAAAGGAAACAATAGGCTGAGTTCAGATGGGTCAAGTAATGAACGAGACATCATCAGCGGAGCCATCTGCCCTGACAGCAACAGATCCACGGCAGCAGCCAAGGTTTTAAAAAAGATGAAGAAGCAAGCTTTTATTTAACGCCTCTCAAGATAAAAATCACGAGGCACTTCACAATAACAAAAAAAAAAAAACGACTAAAAAATGAAAAAAATTTGTTTTTAGGAAAATAATAAATTGTGATAAAAAATTTGAGGAAAGGGAACGAGAAAATGATTAGGAAAGAGGTAATCAGTGGATCCTTGGAAAGGCTTAATTGGTAGAAAGAGCTGAATGAGGAGAGGGTGTCATCCTCTCACCTACTGCACTGAAACCATCCTCCCAGATCCCAGATTAGGAGTGCATCTGGACCACAGAGCAGGACTTCTGTCCTTCTACAGCGTCTCTAAAACCATGACTCTCCTCCACAGAGTCCAGACCACATCCACTCAGCCGCTACACGCTGGAGTCAGGCTTTACCACAGAAGCCCTGCTGAGATGTTTTTATGGATGTAACTGATTTCAGGTCATCAGAGTCAAACATCCAGATTCTCTCCAGTCAAGCTGCTGATCTTCTGTTTCACATTTGATTTGTTCAGTAAAACTAATAAACTTCATGTTCTGATGAACACATGAAAGTGATTGTTTTGCTCTTTGTCAGTCTGGATTGTAGAAAAAAAGTCTAATTTGAGTCATATTATACTCAAAGCTGTGCAAATGTGTTTGTTTCTGTCTTTGTGTGTGTGTGTGTGTGTGTTGGACTCTGTCCAGTTCACAGAAGTAGAAAAATAAAACATTGTACAGATAAGATAAAATGAAATGAGCACATGCACGCTAAAGCACAAGAGGCAAAAAAATCATGAAAAACAAAAAGAAGAGACAATAAAAAAAGCAGCGTGAAAATGAATAAAGTATAAATTATTGTAGCCGAACCAAGCCAACTTTATTTGTATAGCACCTTACAACGGTATAAAACTGACCAAAGTGCTTCACAGAAGTTAAAAACAGTAAAAACAATACACAACATAAAAATGCATAAAGACTAAAGCCTAAGAACTAACACTAAAAATACTAAAAAGACTCTTATGCTGAGTTAAAAGCCACATCATAAAAACTGGTTTCCAAAAGAGATTTAAAACCAAACAGTGAAGACGCCAACCTATTGCTCAAAGGCAGCACATCCCAGAGCCTAGAGGCCGCTACAGAGAAGGCCCGTCACCTCTGAGCTTTCGTCTCATTCTTGGGACTTCCAGAAGCATCCTATCAGCCAACCACAGAGACCATGCAGGGGAGTAAAAAACCAGCAGCTCAGATCTGGAGCAAGGCCATGCAAAAGTTTAGAAGCCCGTAAAAGCACCTTGTGCTGGATTCTAACACAAGCAGGCAGCCAGTGCAGTGAGGCAGGACAGGAGTAACATGCTCCATCTTTTTGTCCCTGTGAGCAGCCGTGCAGCAGCATTCTGCACCAAGTGAAGACGCGACAGGTGGGATTGTGAAACACCAAGGTACAAAGAATGACAGTAATCAAGCCTTGATGCCCGCCTATCGTTATTGGCAACCTGCAGGCTAGCATACTACACTTCTCATAGGTTGGCCGTGTACAGCGGTGTACAATAAGACTTAAACAAGGTTATCTTTACTTTATCAGAACAAGACCCAAACTTACAGCTCATGCCCGACCTTTATCTTATTGAGGAGGACACAGTGGACTTTCCCATGTGTCTAAATGCCGCCCACGAGCTCTGGGATTTCTACATTCCTGAGAAGTCCTTCGGACCTACATGTGAAGACCACACTGCCCGTACGAGACCAAACTGATGCTTTCCTCCCCCGACCGTACTGACCCTAAAGTGTAAGTGCCATAGAGAGGCTGAGAGACTGGGTAGGCCTATCAGGAACTGCTCTGGAGTGGTTCTCTTCTTACCTGTCTGAGCGTTCCTTCTCTGTAACCATAACAAGTTCCGGTCCTCCACCACCTCCCTCGCCCATGGTGTCCCACAAGGTTCTACTCTTCCTCCTTTATCTGCTCCCTCTCCAGCACATCCTGAGCTGTTTCAAAGAAATCTTCTTCCATCTTTATGCAGATGACATCCAACTGCATATCTCCTTTAAGCCCCATGAGATGTCTAAGCTGCAGCTGTTACACACCTGCTTAGACTCTATCAAAACCTGGATGGTTGGGAGCTTTCTTCAGCTGAATGAAGATAAGACTGAGATCCTCATCTGTGCCCCAGACAAGCTGGTTCCCAAAGTCAGAGACTCTCTTGGTCAGCTTGCATCGCACACCAAACCCTCCATCAGCAATCTTGGTGTGAACTTTGACCCAGCTCTCACCCTGGATTCTCATGTCAGTTCTCTTGTTCAGCTCAGTGGTCTCCTTTATAAAGCAGCTGAAAACTCCCCTGTTCAGGCTTTGGTGTGACCTTCATCACCACCACCTGCTCCTTATTCTGCCTTTGCCAGCTGCACTGATAACCTCATTCCTATTAATCTTCTATTTCCCTTTCTTGACTTTTTTAATCGCAATTTCTTATTCCTCCAAATTTTATACTTTTTAATCATTTTTTATTTAATTTTTTTGTTTTTGTGAAGCAGCTGGTGATTTAGAGCTTGAGAGGCACTATATAAAAAAATTTCTTCTTCAACCTTTATGCTTTTTTCATTTTTCATAGAAAAAAATACTAAAAACATGCAGGTTAGGTTATTTCACAGCATTGGAGTTTGGAGAACTACGTCACTTTGAGAAATAAAAAGTCAGAGATGATCAGAACTTGAATTACTTTGTTTTGTTCTTTACCAAACCTGAGACTTAAACAGATAAAAGAACATTTTCATGCTTTGTTAGTTTTTTTAATTAACGTAATTCAGGCTAATCTGATCGTGTTTGAACCTATTTAGTTCAGTTCTGACTCACATCAGAACAGATTTTGGATCTTTGTGGACTTCAGCTGATCTTATGTGCTTTTATGAAGATAAACTTCTGAATAAATAAGTCATAGAATGAAATAAAACTTTGTGTAACTGAATTGTTTTTACCAAATCAACCAGTAGTTCAGTTTGATTTGAAGCATAAAGACATGAACTCATTGTTTCCGTGTTACAGAGCTCCTAAAATAAAACTACTGTTGCAGTGAGAGAAACAAGCTCTAAAATCATCCCAGTGAAAAATATTCAGACACAAAAGTTTTGTTTTTATTCCACTAGTAGAGCCTGGTGTGTGGTTACACAGCTATAATCCACCAATCTGTAGAAAAACACTGTTAACACCAAGTAACACGAGTTTAGCGGCTGATGCACCACGAGGGGGTTGTTTTTAGTGACTGATGGAGTGAAAGCGGAGTCTGAACGTTCAGTTAAAACAGCTGAATTATCAGCGTGTCAGGAAGAGGCTCATAGCTGGAGGAAACCCAATCGAGAGTAAAGAAACTTGCGGAAGCTTCCTGCAGTGAGGAGGAAACGTTTTCACAAAGCTCAAACATTCATGCAGACGGATTCATCTTTTTCACACACAGCAATCATTTTGTGGTTTACATCAGGGATGTTCAGCAGCTTCTGACAGACAGGTCTGAAGGATTTCAGGTGGAAACCAGAATGTTTGATGGCTTTTACCTTTTTTGGTTTGTTTTAAAAAGAAAAGCAGCCAAAGATACTAATTGTCTTCATTTAAAACCTCTGCTGCCATTTAGAGTTTTCAGATTTCTTTTAAGCAGCAGATATTTACATTTGTTCCATTTATATTTTAATGTAGGAGCCTGATGGTAATTTAAAAAAGTTATTTGCTTTTCATCCCTAAAATAAACAAGAATTGTTATGGAAAAATGTATGTTTATTAATTCTTGATCATGGACTAAATCAACTGAATGTAAATGTATTGCTCTATGCCTCTCTGCTCTCACACACACACACACACACACACACACACACACACACACACACACACACACACACACACAAACAAACAAACAAACAAACACACACACACACACACACACACACACACACACACACACACACACACACACACACACTGACCTCACTCCCATTCTTATCTTTCTGTTTAAATAAAGTCTGTGAACAAACGTTCGGTGCTTTTGCCACAGCTATAACTGTTTGACTTGTTGTTCATCGTCTCCTTCTCTCTTCACTACAGGAAATGGGTTACTGATAAACATATTGATAAAATCCATGACAAGAACTCAAACTCAGTTTTACATGAAATAGAACAAATGTTTCAACCAGTCAGGAAGCGATAAAATGACTTTATATGAAAATAAAGTCCTTTTAAACATCCAGTCATAAAGAGAAGAAGAACCGCAGCAGGAGTCAAACCTTCATCTTCTGTAGGCTTATATGATTCACACATTTGGAACAAAAATCAGGTTAAAACTTTAGTTTTGGACAAATTCTGTAATTATTTTAGTTTCTTTGAACTTGTTAAAACTAAAACTTGTTGTAAAGCAGCAGTAAAGTGTGGCTGAATACAGAAACAGAAGCTGTGTCAGCATTCTGCTGCGAACGATCATGTTCTACTTTGGTGGCCTAGAAGGGTCAACAAAACACAAAAGTTACAACAGAAGTCATAATAAAACCGAAGCTAAATAATAAAACAGATCTACGTTTTAGAGTACCGGATGCGATGCTAAAACAGAACTCATGCTAATAACATAGCTGTGCAAAAATGTAAATAAATGAGAGAAAAGAGCATTTAGGACCTGATTAAAGCTTCAGTCTGACTTTTTAACTTGGATTTAATTCTCACTGACTTTGTAGCTTTTGCTGTTCTGTTGTGGTTTTTGCCATTCGTTGAACCTTCTCAGCCACCGTAGTTTTACAATTCAGAAGCTGGATTTACAATCTGTTTGAAAAGAAGCGTGTTGGTTTTATTGCCATAAACATAAAGCTGATGTTTACAATCATCAAGTACGACACGAGAGCAGGACCGGCATCGGAGGAAATCTATCAGACAACATCTTACAGTTTTCGATGTAAAAACCAGCTGCGATCTGACAGCAATCACACGTTTTTACATGAATCGACACAGAATGATGTAACCTCTAGGGTTCTCTGTATTTAAGTAATACTACACAATAATGCAGATTTCTAAATTATTTATTATGTGGGTCAAGGCTCACTTAAGTTTGAGGTTAATTTTCCTGAAATGGGTAAAAGTCAGTATTTAAAAATGTAACAGCTCTAATAAAATAAAAACAAAGTGCATAAGTTGTTCAGGGGCACCAAAAGCCTGAACAGTAAAAAAAACATCCCGATGAAGACTGATGATCAGAGATTAAAGAGAAAATGTAGAAAACTGTTCCTAAAAACAGGACTGGATCAGAATCTGCAGAGAGAACAATTTTAAATCCGGGAGTTTGAGTCAAAACAAAAAGAAAACCATCAGAAACATACAAAACTGAAAATAAAACCACAAAAATGTGAAAAACTGAGACTTTTGTGCAAACATGAATCAGCTGTTAGTGGCACATTATTAGATCTGCTGAACTGCAGCTCCCAGCAGCATCAAGCAGCACAGTGATCTAAATATCTACCCTTCAATAATCTTTTGTTTTTGTGCTTTTTTCAGCAAGTGGAACAGAAACCGTTCTTCTTTTTGGACAGAGACGAATCACGCCCACGTTACAGTAACACATTAACATGTTAAGCATGTGTTGGTGATTCACACGTGGAACACCAAACCCCTCCAGCCCAGAAGACCCCCCATCATCCCGCCGGTTACAAACACCACAGCAGCTCCACAGTAACAACAAAGACCCACACTAAACCACCTACATTTGTCCTTTTAACCTACGGGAAGGTGTTTGACACAAACACACACTTATGGAGAGGTTGAGAAAAGGGAGGAAGTCACTTCTCCTGCAACAGAGCAGGGATGTTGATGTTCCAGCCGATGGCCTGCCGGTCGAAGCCGCAGGTGAAAAGGTTGCAGGTTGTATTGTCCTCACACCAGGCGGAGCAGCAAACCATACGGCGGTGACCCTGAGCAACAAAAACACCAGACATTTGTAAAATAACAGCGTCTTCAGAGTCAAATCCTTACAACTATTACCCAAGGGACCTCATGTTAGTCTAAAACCACTAAAAAACCACTGATGCCTGCTGTTGCCAGGTTGACGGCAGGAGTTTATGTCTGTGTGAGTTCATCAGCTGAATAAGAACCTGATGAAATTTTTATCTAAAGCCGGTATTTAGAGTCAACAGAATTCAAGATCTAATCATGTGTGATTGTTTGTGTTCCTCATATGGAGCAAAGGTTTCATGTAGTAGAAGCTAAAAGTCATTCAATGACAAACTAACTCGATTATTACGGTCATTCATTCATTTATTCATGAAAGTATCAAAAAATTATTTTCTTCTGTGATGACATGTTTATGTTGATTCATTAGATTTGTTTTTCGGTCTGTGGCAGAAATTGTAACACCAAGAGAAAACATGGGTGGGGGAGAGAACATGCTAACTCTGGCTCATAGCGCCTTCTTAGGGTTCTACAACCCCCCAAGGTGCTTCACAACACAATCAGTCATTCACCCATTCACACACTGGTGGTGATGAGTTATGATGGAGCTACAGCTGCCCTGGGGTGCACTGGTCCCGCCGGCCCCTCCGACCACCACCAGCAGGGAAGGTGGGTTAAGTGTCTTGCCCAAGGACACAACAGCAGAATTCTCCAGTTGGAGCCGGGATCTAACCAGCAACCTTCCGATTACCGGACAATCCGCTCTACCTCCTGAGCTACTGCTGTCCCCATATGCTGTACCCAAATACTGTAACATGTTTATAACTAGGGATGCACCGATGGATCGGCATTTGATCGTAATCGGCCGATAGCGCCCCTATCGGTTTTGATCGGAGTTTTCAAAATAGATCAAAGCAGACCGATCAGGTAGGGTTGTCACGGTAACCAGTGTAGCGGTAAACCCCGGTAAAAAAAAAAAAAAGTTGACAATAATAATAACCGTCTTGTTTTTTAAAAAACTATATTATCTCGGTGGATTACCGTGGCTGCGGTGTAGGCGCGGTGACCCTTACCAGCCACCGTATCATCTGCTGAAGTTGCCGGCGGCTCATGCGCGCTTTGTTGTTTACAACCAAAACTTTCTTGAAGCTAAAGCTGAAATAATGGTCAAAGGAGGAGACGGCAGCGCTCAGGAGGACATTTTTTATCCCTCAAAGAAGACAAAGTCGGAAGTACGGGCATATTTTAGATATTTGAAGAATGCCGAGGGACAGTTGATAGAAGACGGCTATCCTGTTTGCAGCACGTGCAGAAAAAGTGTCTGTGAAAGGCAGCAACGCTTCAAATCTCATGACACATCTGCGTGACCATCACCCATAACTCTACAGTCAACGCAAGGCAAGTTAACGTTAGCGTTTTAGCTAAAATGCGTGATCCGAGGATTTAGGTTGAGGGAGAACGCAACGAGTCGCTATATAAAGCAGCCGCAGCGCCGCTACCTGCATATAAACCGTGTCGCGGACACCGCCATGTTGAAATGACGCTATGCATTACGGGGCTCCCAGGGGCAGATAAGAGTTGGTCTCTCTCCGAGAATAATTATAAATTTAACAATGATTACTGCCTGATGACATTTTCCCAAATCTGCAAAGCTCACTGAAAGGACACAAACCGAGGACAATATTTTCCTGATATAGGGTTTATTACTCAAGTAAGGGTAAAAAAAGTATCTGATTAGAAGGCTACTTGAGTACTGAGTATCATCTGATCTAATATTTTTAAATGATGACATCAAACAGACATAAAATAAGAAGTTATGGGCAAATATTGGTATTTTAAAGACTAAAGGGGAAAATGTAAACAAATAAACAACATAATTACAAAACAACACATTTTAGGCAAAATTTAGACACAAACTGAGGACAATATTTCCCGACATACAGGGTTTATTTAATTGCGTGAAAATGTAGCACGTTTAAAAAAAATACTGCGATAATACCGAAAACCGTGGTAATTTTGGTCACAATAACCGTGAGGTTAAATTTTCACATCGTGACAACCTTAATACAGACCATTTTAGATTAGGTTACATTTCCTTTATTACCAGATTATGTAGTTTGTAGCACTTATTATAAAGTTGTAGAAAATTTCTGGCCAATCCACGTGATCGGTATCGGTCATCAGCATTCTTTGATATCGGTATCGGTGATCGGCAGCAAAAAACCTGATCGGTGCATCCCTATTTATAACCAGTTCTAATATTATACAAGGAAGGTCAATAAACACTAAAATATAAAAAATAAACCACACAATTATAAAATCCATATAAACATATTTTGAAACAATAATTTTTATAATTCAATAAAATCTATTAAATGTTGAAAGTCAAAGGTAATTTTTACATAATCACCCAAACAGGATAAAAATGCTGATTTGTAAAAATTCATCTGATTGCCCAAACCTCTGCTGAGCCCTGAAACACGATCATGTTCTTCATGGATCTATTTGTGTTATTTATTTTTCTCCTGAGAGGTTTAGTAACCGTAAACGTCTGGCCGACCTGTCTGTTGCTTCGTGGAAGTCGAGCCAGTCGCACCCCGGACATGTCGAACAGCCGGACCTGCCGATTGTCGTGAGGAAGAGCGATGATCTTCTGGTTCACCGACACGCTGATCCTAAACGGAACCAGAGAACCTAGTTTATAACCCAGTAAAACATTTTTCCATCATAACAACCAGATCAGACACAGACTTAGCAGCTTAAACATGTCTGTGTTTCATAAAAAGAGATTTTACTTCACTTAACAGAAGATATAAACTAATAATTATTTGTATTTATTGGTTTACAACTAGACCTGTTGACAGCAGAGTCAGTGCGAATGGTTGCTATGGGCGACCGCATGTTCTTCAGGTCCCACACTTTGACGGTTCGATCGTCGCTGCCAGACACCACGTTATCCCCCATGGTGAAAACGGCCGACGTCACCGTACTGCGAAGGAAAACGAGTTGGTTTACAGAAACAGAAAGCAAAACAAGAGTTTACATGATCACAAGAGAAAAGATCAGGATTTTATCCTTTAATATCTTAAAACAGTCACAAAAATGACCTTCTGGGGCTTAGATGTTTGTTTTTCAGTTTTTAGTTAAAAAATGCATTCTAATTAGATTTTAAGTAAAAGTAATTTTACTCTAATATGTCTAAATAAATAATTTATTTAACTAAACACATTTTAGAGCACAAATAGAATAAGATTAAATAATCTGGTGTCCCAGTTTCTTCCAGTGAGATTATTTACATTTCCCATCTTCAGCTTTGTGTCTTCCTCTTAATTAAACAACAAAGTCAATGGGAGGAATGATTGACAAGGCAGCGCTGCAGCACTCACATTTATGTTTATGTTTTTAGCAGACGCTTTTGTCCAAAGCGACTTACAAGTGATAATCGGCATGTTGCCCTTGAGGCTAAACATTTAATGATCGACTACTGGGACAAACCCTGCGTGACACCAAAATGAAGATTTTTCAGGATCCAGAATTTATTTTTAGCATATAATATAAATTATTTTGTGGAAAGTAAAAAAGTCATTTAAGCTTCTGTATCTACGAGTCATTTTTAGACAGGTGTGTATAAGTGTGTGTGTGTGTATGTGTGTGAGTAGGTGTGTGTAAGTGTGGATGAGTGTAAGCGTGTGTCTGTATGAGTGTGTGTGTGTGTGTGTGTGTGTGTGTGTGTGTGTGTATGAGTGTAGGTGTGTGTGTGTATGTATGTATGTGTGTGTGTAAGTGTGTGTGTGTGTGTGTGTGTGTAAGTGTGTGTGTGTGTGTGTGTGTGTATGAGTGTAGGCGTGTGTGTGTGTGACAGTGTGAGTGTCCTGTCACAGTGTCCTGATAGATCATGCGCCCTGGCTACTTGGCTGACTGGTTAGAGCGTATGACTCTCACCCGGGAGTCTGGGGATCGAATCCCGCCCAGGCCCGCGTTTCTCCACCTTGCCACATGTGTATGAGTGTAAGTGTGTTTGAGTAGGTGTGGATGAGTGTGTATGTGTGTGTGTAAGTGTGTATGAGTCTAGGTGTGTGTGTGTGTTTGTGTGTGTGTAGGTGTGTATGAGTGTGAGTGTGAAACACACTCTGTGTGACCCTGGAACACGTTGACGGAGTGGATGGACGGGTCTCTGAAGTCCCAGAGTCTGAATGTCGTGTCTCTGGATGACGTGACCACCAGACGCTGGTTGGGGTGTGTGCAGCAGTGGGTCAGTTCCTGGTCGTGGCCTAAAAACACACACACACACACACACACACACACACACACACACACACACACACACACACACACACACACACACACTTTAGAACTTTGATTTATTTATTCACGGGCTCCTTCTGCCTCTGACTTTCCTGACAGAGAGATTCCACAATCAGATCCGCCATGACACATTCAAGTCATGTTGACCTTTTCTGTCTAAGTTCCCATCAGAGTTTAAACACTCCTGCAGTTTTCTCCTCCTCTCACCGGTGAGCGAGTGAACCAGCTCTGAGGTCTCTACGTCGTATAAATTGGCAGCTCGGTCCCAGGAGGCTGTCACGACCTGTTTGCCCCCCACCAGCCAATCAGCAGCGATCACTACGCCCTGATGGCTTCGGAGCGTCGTGGTCGGCACACGGATAGAGGGGCAGTCGTTTGGCCCTTCCACCTCACCGTCAGCATCATCTTTATCTGAAAAGTCCACATCCTCTTCGCAGGGTGTCTGCTGCAGGAGCAGGGGGAACAGGTGAGTGAAATATGATAAATAATAATAAACAAATAGACGACGGAGGTCTTTAGGCTCACGCTGATGTCAGCGACAGGCTGGGGAGTCGGCAGCTGCACCATGTATCTCCAGATGTGAGCCGTCTGATCTCCAGAGGCTGGAGGAGAGAGCACAGGTGTATCAGCTAGGGCTGTGTTCCATTTCTTAGCAGTTTTACCTGAAAATGTGTTCTTATAAATGAAAATGTCTGTTATAAATAAGTCTATCTCATATAGCAAAACAAAACAAAACAGGCCACAAAGGTGATAAAACACAACTGAACATCAGCTTTTGTGCTGTAGTTTTCACGAAGGCGTCACAAAAGCATCATTCAGACATCTAATGTGAGTAAATTGTTCATTAAGGATGATGTAGCTGTAGGATTACCTGTTAGCGCCACCTGTTCAGTCGGGTGAAACTTAATGGAGTTGACTGCAGAGAAACAAACAAACATCACTGATTCACACCTCTAACTTTTATTATTACACTTCAACAATCACGACTGTTCTAACAAAGTTTAGTATTTAGAGTGTTCCTGAGTACCTGATCCTTGATGGCCCAAATATTTCAGGAGGCACTTTCCCGTCTCAATGCTCCACAGCATGGCTGTGTGGTCTGTTGGATAAAAAAAATCCACTTGATGCTTCAAGTAATGTTACAGTTTGTTATTCTTCTTATCTTTATAACCAAGCAGACAAAACAAAGGAAGATGGGGGAGAAAACAATGAAAGAAGAAAAGTACTGAAACGTGTTTGAAAAGTGGACAGAACGAGTGCTTTTGTTTCCAGAACACACCTGCAGATGCAGTACCGAGCACCACGGGTTGGGTCCGGGTGACGCTCAGGTCCCAGATGCCGTCCCGGTGACCCACGTACTCTTTGACCAGCTGGCAAACCGCTCTGGTTGAAGTTGCTTTGAAACTGGACACAATCTGACACCAGCAACACAAAACGTTACCTCAAAACCACGGAAAAGTCACAAGTGTTTCACTAGCTGGGTTCCTACGCGTTCTCCGCGCATTTTGGTTTCTGTGACTAAATATAAATCCACTTTGGAGATTTAGAAATATTTTATAGTCACTTTATCAGTCGAATGACTGATTTCTGTAACTTTTAGTGGCCAAATGATCTCAAATACGTTCCCTTTTTGTCCAACTGTTGTTTATTTATAATCCCAGAGCCGTGTAGGAACCCTGGTCTAGAGGAGGGAGGAAGCAGAACTCAGAGGAACCCGGAGAAGAGCTCAGCAGGGTGTCTGTGGTACGCCAGCGCTAAAAAGCCTTTCTACAAATAAATATTAAGTCTCTGAAAAGGTTTCATCAAAATAAATCTGATGCTGTTGGCTTTAAGCTTCCCTAGAGACAAGCTGGGGGGGGCGGAGCTATTACCTAAACCAATCACATGCAGAAAGCAAACATCAGAAAAAACAAATCCGCAACAAAAATATTACATCAGCATAACTATAAATATTATATTTATTAACAATCAGTATAAAAAATTACTTTGGATGAAAAGAAGCACAACAAACTCAAAGTTGGTGAGATTAATAAAAAAGTCAGTCATTTGTATTCATTAGATTAATATCTGATGGAGGCGTTTACATCGAAAATGGGAATTATACAGACGGGAGTCCGGGTTCGTTTCGGAAACAAACCACTAAAAACGTTCCAACTGAAACAAAGGAAGGAGGAGATGGGCATCATTCGTCTGAAAAGGATTCAACAGAAGATGAGCAAAAACCTTCACCTGCATAAATAACAACACTGGAACAGAGAGTTGAAGCGTCCTGAGTTATCAGTGACCTTCAGTAAAACAGCTGACAAAGATCCTGATCGGGTTTTATTTAAGTTCAGCACTAAAGCATCGTGTTATATTTAAAAAGCAGCAATAGGATGGGGGGTTTAGGTTTTAGTGCTGCAGAAAAAGCTTTAGGTAACCGAGGAGTGAGTCTACGGTTCGCTGGGAAGTTTACTGTAGCTGTGTGCAGTCTGCCTGGGCCGCGGAGAGGTTCGGGTCACGTTTAAGGTTTTCACCGGTTTTCCTCGGGCTTTACTTCCTAAGTTGATGTTTCTTTCATAAAATCACAGAAGTTATGCCTCAAAAGGAAAATTGTTTTTAGGTTGAGGGAGAAATGTGTTTTTCACTTCTTGGATCTGTTTCTCAAACTAGAAGGTCAGAGGTCATTAAAATGCACTTATTTACAGTAAAGAAATGGCAGACTGTTAGAAGTGAGAACTCTTTCTGAGCGTTGTCACAACACTGATGAAAACGGCTCAAACATGGAAGTGTGACCTGGCCGAGCAGCTGACTGCAGACTGCACACCTGCTCATAGCTGACCTAAAGCAGCCGCTTCAGTCACTCTGGAAGTAAAAAGCCTTTAGGAAACCAGCTGCTTCATGCAGAAGAGGTCTCCACGGTGTACCATTATGAGAATGCCAACAAGAAGCTAAACCAAAACCAAAAGGTGCAACTGAAAAAGGCGGTTAGTGAGATAACAGAAGTTGTTTTATCTCACGCAGAAACTGAGAGGAAAGCTCAGACTCCTACATTTGAACGACCAAGTCTCGAGGGGAGGGAGCATCGACCCCCTGGCTGGGCTGTTCATGCATATTGGCACACAAGGGGAGAAGTTTTACAAGTTACCCATGAGTCTCCACCCCACAACTCCCAGCTGGTTACGCTGAAGTTACGGGATCCACCTACTCTGGCATGGCAAGAATTTGAACGCGGCTACGAGCACAAAAGGTAAAAAGACAGCAGTTTCTCTCTTTATGTTAAAATCATTCATGTTCCTGGAAAACAACATCCCTCTACTTCTACAACAGATCCAGATGAACTAAAGCTTCACTAAAACATTTACCTTGCTTGTTGAGGCCTTGTAGGTTGTTTTCAGCTTTTGAGACAGCTGGCTGGTGCTGTGACTCGCTGAAAAACCATCAGGAAAAAGTCAGAAACAAAAAGGGTTTGATGCAAAGACGCGTCACCACAGAAAGACTGTGAGGTTCATCTGTGACGTACCTTTTGTTTTAAGAGCTCCTTTAGCTAAATCTGCTCCTTCAAACGTTTGTCCTTCTGCAGCCAGACGGTCGTTCAGCGTCTCTATCTCTCTGCGTACTGGAAGTCACAAAAGTTAGCTAAATACTACTGGCTTATCTTACTTCTTATGGTTTTTATAGAGCTGAAATCTCAGTTAAAAAAGCAAAAATCTAAACAACTGTCTGAACTGCAGCAGAATCTACATCCAAATCAGACTGGGATCAGCACCAGAGACAAGGAGCAGGACATAATTTCTACATCACATTTACCTGGATCATAAACGAGGTTAATGGTGACTGTATTCAAACCACAGCACCAGAAAACAGTAACGTGGGTTAGCTCCCTGGTTCTTCTACAGCAGAGTTAAATGTTGTTTAGGAGCCATTTAAAGAGCAGAAGGGATAAAAGGGTCAGACGAGACGAGAGCGTATCTGTCTTACAACAAAGATCAGAACGCTTCTGCTAACTCACGTTCCAGGTTCTCCAAGTAGAGGTTTTCAAACTCCCGCTCGATCTGACTGAACAGGTCCAGCAGGTTGCTCCTCAGAGACAGTGGCAGTTTGGAGTCCTGCAGGAAAAATAAAAACGTGTCCAAACTCAAGTAGAAGCCACCAAACCACACTCAGTACATTAAAATAACACAAGTAATAGGAAGAAAATTTAACTGTTGCTGCCACAAAGCAAACATGTCTCTTTACAGATCAGGAAGGAAGGAAATAAGAGTAAAATCCTACAAAGAAGAGATTCGTCATCAGTTTTTTCTGAAGGTCTAAATGTGTTTCTACAGGATTCCAAATCGAGCTCCAACTCAAAAACAGTAAAGCCTCATGTTCTAAAGCACCACAACAAAACGGCTCCTTTAATAAAAGTTTCCTCTGGTGAGAGACCAGAATGAGGAAAACTTATCTTTTAAAATGAGTCTGAACGTAATATATCTCATTCTGCTGCTGCATTAATAGTTTTCATTATTTACAGACTGGAGTTTCCGCTAATAGGAGATAAAATCCACCTCCATCATCAGGCTGCAGACCTCTGCAGGAGCTCCCTTTGCTCCTGACTCTGACCAAATAAAAGCTTCAGAGCTGAACAGCAGCAGATGGAGTAAAGAGACTGGTGATGGCTGCAGGAACGTTTGTGTCAAGAGCTTAAATAATACAGAAATACACGTCTGAATTAAGGGTTCATGAGGAATAAACAAATGAAGTTCTGAATGTGTAAAACAATTTCCGAACAAGAACAATAAATGTCGACTGATACTGAAGTTCTTCAGCTCAACAGGAAGCCATTTTCCCATATTTTACTTTATATTTAATGGAAATACACAAACAGGAAGATCAAAGATAAATAATGGAATACTTTCCCCGTGACGTTTAGACTCAGCGGGAGTCATCTCAAATTAAGAAGAAGAAGAAATTATCTTTTCTATAGCGCCTCTCAAGATAAAAATTATGAGGCACTTCACAAAAACTAAAAATTTAAAATATAAAAAATAATTTAGAAAATATATATTATATTACATTATATTATATTATATTATGTATGTATTATTTTAGACAGTAACTTGACTTTTAAACAACATGTTAAAAAAGTAACCAAATGTATCAATTCCACACTTGTAAATTTTAAGCACCTCAGAAATCATATCAATCAGTCAATTTTATTTGTAGAGCACCTTCCGCAACGTTATCAGAAGCCCAAGGTGCAGAGCAGCATCATAAAAACATTCCCAGTACCTGGGCATAAGAGCAAGATAAAAACATAAAATCATAAAATAACAAGCAAGCAATATTACAAATACAGAGAAGTAAAGGGATGAGACTAATCAATTAAAAACAAATGGTGGACAAAATAAGATCAAGCATCCTGATCAAAAAGAAGAAGTATTAAAAACCATAATGTCAGGGCAATTCAATGAACCCTAGCACTGAAAAGCAACCAAATAGAAATGAGTCTTTAGACGAGACTTAAATACTTGACGGGACGGCGCCTGCCTAATGCTCAATGGCAATTCATTCCACAGAGTTGGAGCCAAAACAGAAAATGCATGATAACCCCTCGATCGATATTTTGACCGGGGGACCACCAGACGTCCCTGCTCGGCTGAGCGAAGAGACCGAGATGGAACATACTTGTGCAAAAGTGCAGTAATGTAAGAGGGGGCACTGCCCTGGAGGGCCTTATAAACAAGAGTTAAGATCTTAAATTTAGCTCGATATTGCACCGGGAGCCAGTGCAGAGCATTCAGCACTGGAGTAATGTGATCTCGGCATCTAGTACTTGTCAGGAACCTAGCCACTGAGTTCTGTACAAATTGGCAACCGTGCACTGGCCCAGACCGGCATACAGAGCATTACAGTAGTCCAGACGGGACAGGACGAAGGCATGCAACACAGACTCCAGATGAGCTCTGGACAGCAGAGGCCTGATCCTGGATAGTCGTTTCAGATTAAAAAACAGGACCTCACCACTGTATTTACGTGAGTGTCAAGATTAAGTGAGGAGTCAATTTTTATCCCCAAATTACTATTTTCTTTTCATAGGGGGTCAATGAGCTAAGGTCAATATCAGCACCGGAGCCATTTCTTCTGCCAGGACTAAGTATTATGACTTCCGTTTTGCTCTCATTTAGGTGCAAAAAATTAGAAGCCATCCAACATTTTATGTCCTTCAAACAGTTCAGTAATGGAGAAACAGATCTATCCTCCCCACGTCGAAGGGGGAGATAGATCTGGCAGTCATCAGCAAAAAAATTAAATTTCACATTATGCTGACAAAGGAGGACTCCAAAGCCCTTTTCAGATAGACATTCTGGAACATTTGTGGACAATTCAATCCGGTTTTTAACCGGAACTGTGTTTTCAGACACACCACTTTTGTACCGGAACTTGTCCTTTCGGCTGCGTTCACACAGCAGGGAAAAGTTCCAGATGTCTGACGGCGGCGGGGGCGTGGGGGTGGGGGGAATCAGACTTATGTTAAGAAGAAGAAGAAGAAAATATCATTTCTATAGCGCCTCTCAAGATAAAAATCACGAGGCACTTAAGCATAATTCTGCGCACACGAAGACGCATAAGAGACCTGGATGATGAAGCTCAATGGTTAAAGGAATTACTGAAGCGGTGTGAAGCGCTCCATCGCGCATCTAGGCGGTACCGTAGGAGGCGAGCTGCCATGGTTCGCCGCATGCTACAGGAGCGAGCTATCTAGGTGCGCACAGCGTCCCCCAGTCCCCTCCTCCTCCCCCTCCCCCTTGTCCGGAACTCTATCTCACCAGTCTGAAGCAGCCACCCTGTCCGTAACAAGTCCGGACCTGTTACTAGGGGCTTCGTCCGGTTAAATTCCAGAACACGTTATCCGGATGTTTGTATTCAGAAACAAAGTTTTTACGGACAGAGTCTGGAACATTTCCGTTTTTCATGGTCTGTCTGAAGGGGGCTCAAGAGGAAGCAAATACGAGGACCAAGGACAGAGCCCTGTGGTACACCCCAACAAAGTCTCACGCAGGGTGACGTCACCTCACCCATCTGAACACTAAATGTCCTGTCATGAAGGTAGGAGCGAAGCCATTGGAGGGCCTGCCCAGTTATCCCCACCCAATGCTGTAGTCGGTTCAGAAGGACTTTGTGGTCGACTGTATCAAAAGCTGCAGAAAAGTCCAGCAATAGTAGGACAACATTGTTTTCCATGTCACAGGCTAAAAACGTGTCATTAAAAACCATTAAAAGAGCAGATTCAGTGCTGTGACCTGCCCTGAACCCTGACTGAAAGGTTTCCCATAAATCATTTGTGTTCATAAAGGCAACCAATTGTGAATACACGACCTTCTCCAGCAGTTTGGAAAGAAAAGGGAGTTTTGAGATGGGCCTGTAATTAGCTAAGGTTGTCACATCCAGCCCCGGCTTTTTGAATAACAGCCTTCTTAAACAAGGACGGAACCATACTAGAAGTAAGACTGCCATTTATGATTGCCAAAAGTAAAGGGCCTATCACTGGAAAGAGTTCTTCATAAATTCTAGGGGACAGCACAACACAAGGAGAGCCAGATGGTTTAAGCTGAGCGACCAGTTTTTCCAAGTCCGATAAGGATACAGGCTCAAATGTTTCCAGTGTGGCTCTGGGAGTAGAGAGTCAGGAGGTGAGTTTGTAATGGCAGCTCGAATAGCTGTAAGTAAGTAAGTAACTTTATTTGTATAGCACCTCTCACAGACAAAAAGGTCACAAAGTGCTTCACAAGTTAAAAGGCAACAACATATAAATACAGTAAAATACAGCCACAATATACATAGTGTCAAATACAACCAATCCGAATGAGACTAAGTTTAAAATGCCTGGAGAAACAAATGGGTTTTAAGATTGCTCTTAAAAACATCAACTGAGTCGATTGAGCGTAAAGACCAGTGGCGGCTGGCCAGTAGAGGGCGATAGGGCGCCGCCCTCCCAGTTTCCCCACTGTTTTTAATTTTTATTTAAAAAAATAAATAAATAAAATTAACAATAATCACATATTCTAAGTTAATTGTGTGTTTTGTAACAAAAATAAATCATATATATATATATCTATATTGGTCTCTGCCGATCTCTGCCGGTCTCTGCCGAGCGGTGGAGGCTGTGTGCTGTTTTTCAATCGCCCAAACAGGACGAGACCAGTTGCCCAATTGCTGACAAGAAAATCAAAGGGTAGGAATGGGAATGTATCCAATCAGCGTCGACGTTGTTTCAGAACGTTTCAGAAGCATGATGGGCGATAGAGCTACCGCCAAGGCTTTCGTTGGTGTTCAGTAGAACTCGGAGAGTCTCGACTCCAGCACGTTTTTGGTCGTGACTCGTGACGGTCATGACGCAGACGTAGACATGGACGCCAGTGCGCCTACAACATGGATACCGGATCTCAGCAGCCACTGAATTCAGTTCGGTCTCTTCTCCAGCATTCGTTCGAGAGGAGAACTATGGTGGAAAAACTTAATGTCAAAGAGCTTGGACCAGATCAGCCCGACGTAAAGATAAGCCAGCAGGAGAAGGAGAAGGGTAAACTGTACACACGACGCTTCTCCCAAAATTGGTACACCAGGAAGCAGTGGCTAGCTGGATGCAATCACGCTAATGCGTTATTTTGCTTTCTGTGTTTGTTATTCAAAACGGCTGGGATCCACAGAAGGTGGATGTGGAACTTGTGTCTCATTGGGGACTCCATTCATTCTCTGACTGAGGAATGCAGCGCATCAGTGCAGCAGCCAACAAAGAAACGGAGGACGTTTGGACAGGGAGAACAGCAGCTGGGTGCAGAGGTAAGCTGTACATTACATTTCTGTAAACAAGACAATCAGAATCAGAAATCTTTGGTTGTCCCACAAACCGGGACATTTGTTTAATAACATGTACATTGTTTAATGTGCAATAACTAAAAACTAATTTCAACACACATACCTATACATATTTAATCATGTAAATGTGTATTTCAAGTAAATTTGTACATACATCAATCTGATTCCATTTTACTTGTTACACTTCTGCTGCAGCAAACAAATTTCCCTGCTTTTTGGACAATAAAACACTTCTGATTTGTCCCAA